TCATTTGTGTGCCAGGAGGGTGATTTGAAACTTGAGGTGATCATAAAGAAGCTTGGCATTAGGAGGGCAAATGATGTTTTGTAAATAATACAGAAAGCCACAATCCCATGCTTGCTCGACAAAGCAACTGTTGTATAACCACTCGTAACTCCCAGGGACGTTTTAGGTACGTGTTTAGATCAGAACTTGTTGTTAAGTTAACATTGTACTATGCAAAGTGTGTTTCAGGAGTGGTCCTGATTCCATTTCCATTAAGTACTGTAGGAGGCCTTTCCACTTATTCAAATTTCTTGTTTTTATCATCCTAATTTTTATTTATTTTTTACTTGGTTTTTGTGACATTTGATTACAAAGTTATTTAGAGCTGTATGGAGTTTAAAAAGTATAAGAGCAGTTTATTTCCTCTTTGAAACTTGCACAATAATGATAACAGTAATTTGTTATTTATAAACAAATTCTAAAGATAAACTCAAACCATTGCTTAAATTTTTGAGGTTAAAATTATTTCATGAAGAGAAGTTTGATTTATTTAATAAATTACTTGGAAAAATTGATTACAGTTGAGTTTAACAAGATTTAGGTACACATTCTAATATTTACCTTGTTTTATTCTCTGTTCTTCACTTTTGAGTTCCCCCATCACTTCATTGGCTTCTGTCATTCTTTTCTCTTTTCCTTTTCCACAAAAATCAAAGAGAGCCATGAATTTGACAACTTCTCTGGAAAATTCTTCTCTGCAAAAATAATTGAAGGCTACACAGTTCAGTTGGATGATTGTTGACCATGTCTGATATTAAAACAGTCTTGAAATGATTTTTATTGGGCACTGCCCGTGAAACATTTTTAAGGGATTTTTTTATGGAATACTGGAACCTCTTAATATTGTCATAAATTGTACATGAAACAAATATGTAGTGTAACATTGATGTCAGTACGTACTTATCACAGTCAGTTGCATCCTCTATTTCTTCCTACAGAAAAAAGAAAAGAGTTTAACTCTGAAATTTAATGGAAAGAATGACATCTAAGTTATTTTAAAATAACCCTCGCAATGAGTACTATTTAATGTCCTCCTGAAGGTAGAGGTGTGCCAGCACAGTTTATGGTGAATAAATTCCTTCATTTATCAAATTACAGACAAAGGACAGGCGTTGTCTGTGGCACAGGCTATTTCTAGAACACGTAAAATTTTGAATAAGTACCGTAATTATTCGAATAAGCGCCCAACCTCGAATTAGCGCCCATCCCAAAGGCAGAAAAAGTTAACAAACGCCCAGCCTCGCATAAGCGCCCACCCCCTCCTCCCCCCAATCAAACTCAAATAAGCGCTCACCCCCATTCCAGCCACTTAAATGAATAAATTCTAATAAGAGACTTTAAGAGTTTTCTTCAGAGTATTTTACAGAAACCTTGCTTTGTTACTTCTTCGCGTTTTGTTATTAGCATTTATTGTTTTGTTGCAAAATAAACATACTTCACTTGCTGAAAATGGTGAAAATTTAATAAGCGCCCAGCCTCGAATAAGTGCCCACTCTCAAGGTCCAAAAATTTAATAAGGGCGGTTAATCGAATAAAAAAAATACGGTATGCCCATTTCTTCTGACATTAACAGGTCACCATAACAACGCTTTAAGGGAGAATTCAAAATAGTTTTGGTAAACATGATTTTTTTTTCTGTGCGATTTGTCAATTTAACGGCAAAACTAAGTTAATGAGAGACTTATTTTATTATTGTTGCCCCTTAGTGGGTAATAAGTTTCAAACATGTCAGATAAGACCAAGATAGCCTGCGAAAAGACTGCTGGTGGGAAAAAAAAGACCATAAAAGGAACGGAGAGGCTTTTTTCTCCTACTTCTCAATCCTCTCGCCTACCTCGCCTACTCCCCAGCGGAAAGGCCAGCCCATTAGTCTGTAACATTTACGAATTTTTATGTCTCGTCCGAACGGATTCGTTTAGTGTCCTTGTTCTATTTTTTAAGGAGAAAAACTACAAGAGGCAAAAGTAACTAACTAGCGGCACTTTTGCACTGTAACTTAACTCATTTAAAAGCCATGCCACTGCTTCAGCGTAAACTTAAACTTACCTTTTGCTGGATAAGAATTTTCTCCCTTTCTAACAGCTCTTTTTTCTTTTGTGTTAAAACGGTTTCGCTAATTTTAAACCACTTAAGATTTAGTTCTTCTTCAGCCAAACGCTGGCTTTTAAGAACTAATAGTCCTTGCAGTGATTTCAATTCATCCGTAAAGTCTTGATATTTCGCTTGGTACACCTGAATTTCGTTGTTTACTGTAACAGAAACAAAAGAAAGTCATACTCGTAAAAGCACTGCAGTTTTGCATGTTTTTGGGCTCAAAAAAATTAGAGTTTTTGAGCTATTAAGCTTATCTCGTAAAAAAAAGTAAAGTATGAACAAAAGTGTTTTGATCTTATATTGGGCTGTCTTCCAGACGTTTCAGGGCCTTGCCCTTCATCAGTGGAAATACAAGTTTGCCAGAACCGGTTCAAGGTTTCGCCATGAATTACATGTAAAAATTAAAACTTTTTAGTGCGTGCGGCCTAGAAAAACAAACCTTCACGTAGTTTTGTGAAACGTTTGCGTATTCTCTCCTCAGACTGTATTATTTGTTCAAATAAGTCGTTTAAAATGCTCATCTTTAAGGAATTTGATCTACGGGTTCATATAAGGTTTGCAAGCTGCTGCTTCTCTCTCTCTCTCTCTTCTTTCTTTTGCGCGGGAATTTCATTCTGGATAAACCACAGGACACCTATTGTTATAAAGGCACTCGTTTTTTTGAAGGAAAGCGAGACAAGTACAGACAGTAAAGAGGCAAGAGTAAAGTTAGACATGGGGCAACTTGGTTGAAATAGATTTTACTCCCGTCATTTTATGGAAGAAAAATATAGAATACTTCATGGAAAGTGCTCGCGTACGGTGAGAAATAGTGCGCGAGGGCTAGCCTCAGCCACAAGTTGCTCCAAATTTTCTTAAAAGTTCCCCGAAGTTAGCTTGCTCGACTTTTCTGAAAAGTTACTCAAAAGTAGCTCCTTAAGTAACATCAAAGTGACAGCCACCTCTTGCCAAATGCCGCTGGTAAAGTAAGGTAAGACAATTTAAAACTCTTGCCTTCTTTGCTTTTTTCACGCATTTACGGCGAGTAACGTTTAATCTGTGTACACCTAATTGCAATAAGGTTGTCATAGAAAAAAGCAAAAAGCAAAAAGCAAAAAGTTAAATAGGAATTAATTAGCATGTAATTATCTAGCCTGCGTAGCAAGCGTTTCCAATCGAGTTGTTGCGCAAAAGTTAGAGCGTAAGCAAAAAAAGGTTGATTTTTTTTTTGCTCTTCTCCCAGCTTTCTAGACGAACCTCGCGAGGAAACGCTTGCTACGCAGGCTAGTAATTATCATAGGTTGCAACATTCACAACACACGCGCTTACAGCTGAATATTAATCACGTAATATGAGAGAAATCATTTGCATCAGTTTCTTACTGTCATTCTCATGCAATTCAAGGCTGAATCATCTAGCGAATTTCAAACGTGCTCGAATTACAAAGCACATCGGATAACTACCAAAGAAATAATGGCTTCATTTTTTTCCAATAAATATAGCCTGGGTGTAAATTCCAGGAACTCAACGCGTGTTTTAGATTAGTGCTAAATAGAAAAGCCAGTCTGCGTATTGTTTGCAGTGCACAACACCATCTGATCACAATTTTCAAGCAACAAATCAGGGGCGTAGGCAGGACTTTTCATTGTGGAGAGGGTGAGGAGGTCCTCCGCCAGTTCCTAACCTGAGCATAGTTAGTAGCTAACTATGACCTGAGCCACAAACCAAGCTTCGTTTGTCAGGACATAATAGATTGGCAACTGAACGTGCGCGGACAACTGAGACATAACATTGCCCGCGTCAATTTACCTTTTTCTTTCTCGAACTGTGCGACTTCTTTTGATGGAGAATGTTGGCTCTAAAATGACTATGGCGCCTGTCTATCTTACAGCGCGGAATTACAGAATCATTTCTTACTATTGTGAATGAATTCTTAATAAATAATTGTTAAATACTGAATTAAAATACGCAAATGTAAATCACATGGCTAATTTATTCCTATTTGGCTTTTTTGCTTTTTGCTTTTTTTCTATGACAACGTTATGTATCGGTCAAATCGAAGCTTCAACATGCCCCCCCCCCGGGCAACCCCCCGGGGCATTTGACTTTTTTGAAAATTATTGTTCAAATTCCCCCCTACCCGGGCCAAAATGCCGTTCAAATGCCCCACACTAGGGTCCATTCAGGTGATCAAATCCCCCCACCCCGGGGACATTTCACAGGCACAAAAATGACAGAAGGACGGCCGAAACGCCTTCAGTTGTCGAACAAAATCTTTATAAATATAACAAAAACTGAGAGACACTATTAGCGTATTTACTACGAACAAAAAACTCGTGCAAAGCGGCGGAAATCGCTGCTACAAGGTCACTGAATGCTCAGCTTTTCTTCATCATGCAAAGTACTATAAGCCCATACAGAGCGTTCTATGAAAAAGATCCCACCTATTGAGATTACTACATCATGACCATTTCACTGACGTGCATCATCGCTCACTGTATAAATTAACATACTTGCGGTAGGTCAAAGTAGTTGACCTGAGCTTTTTATTTTATTTTATTTTATTTTATGTTGTTGCATTGAATCGCTGGTATAGATATTGTATTTCATTGTAAACACAACAATAACATACATTCATACATTCAAAGCCTGAATCTAATATTAAAAAATTTAAGATTTAAATACTTCAAAAACGGCACAAAGCTTGTTTAAGCCCTTTCCTTGTAACCAATTGGCCACAAAGGCACAATCTTTTCCACCAAAATCCTCTAATACCGCGACCCCCATCATAGCTCGCCACGCCAAAGATTTTACATGAAATCGAGAGCGCAATTCAAATTCCCCACCCCTAAAGAATGGGGATCAAATTCCCCACCCCCTGGAAGACTCTGATAATCAAATTCCCTCCTCCCCGGGACGGCAAAGGTGTCAAATGCCCGGGGTATGCCCGGGGGGGGCATGTTGAAGCTTCGATTTGACCGATACATTATTGCAATTAGGTGTAATCTCATTTGTTTTCCTACAAAATCAGAGTAGTAACTTTTTACACAGAGACAAACTGAAAAAGTCTTCCCTACACTATAACGATGTTTCTCTCTTCAGTTATCCCAGAAAAACTGTAAATTCACCGTTACGCCGGCGTTTTGAGCAGACATCAGTCAGTGTCATTTGTGAAAACAGACCGCTGTGAGACGAAAACACTTTCAGGGCCGAGTTGTTCAAAGCTGGGTTAAGATAACCCAGGATCAGTGCGAGATATGAATTCAGATTTGAAAGCTTAACTAAAGCATTTTAGTTTCAATTCTTTTCGTCTTCAAGTTGACAATTGCAAGCTCTAAAAGTAACAGAGAAAATTATCCAGATAATGCTTTTGAACAAAAGAAAAAGAAACCCCGGTTAAATTTAACCCCGGGTTAAGCGCTAATTGCTAAATGGCATTTTTCTGTTTTTTTTTTTTTTTTTTTTTTTTTTAACATTGGGAGAAAACTCAACAACTCAGCTCAACGCCACTCATTTGTGAAGCCCGAGAAAGGTAGTCCTTATGGGTGAAGTTCCCCATACAGGCCATTTTACCCCCTGACTGACGGGGGGGGCGGTACCACTGAGAATTCTTGTGCCGCCTGGTTCTCCAAATCCTAACCCTATTTCAGACCAAAAAAGCTCATTTTTCACACCTGTTTTCAGACCTGACCTCTAAAATCCATACCTAATTTCAGATCTGGTCTCTAAGATATTATGTCATTATTACTTTTCAGGTCAAAAAGGCCTAGACAAACTAGACAAAGTTTTATGCAGGGGAGGATCTGCCCCATGGTCCATCCCCTTACCTTTTACACACTATTTTGACTGAAAAGGTGCCCCTTTCGTGTCCATTTAACTGAGAAATGCCTTATGGTACCCCTTTAGAACTTTTCTTCCCTTTTAACTGCTCTAAATATGAATAAAGCACAAATCCAGAACATTTTCTCGACTTTTTCTTAGCCATAAAATGCATCTGTTAGCCCTTCTGGGCCTTTTTACGGACCAGAATAACAGATTTCTATACCGGCCTTTCATATATCTCAACTAGTGAAATCCTACCCTTTCATACATCTGAAGCTCGAAAAAGACACCCCCTTTCAAGCCGAACCTCCCCGTCAACCTGGTCCCCAGGGCTATTCCCATTTTTTAGGGAAAAGCCCTGGGGACGGGGTTGCCTCCCCTTAAAGGCCATTATCAGGGACTGCAAAGGGGTTGGGGCTGTCACTTACCCCACAAACGAGGTTTAGTAATCTGACAATACTGAACACTCAGAAACAGAGAACAGACAAACTTTGTCTTGTAGCTGTTGCCAATGAAGTTTGTAGCATGGACTTCTTTGTAGCAGTTTTAAAAACAGTTCAACTTCTTATGATTACTTTGAAGTGACTTTTTTAGCTAATTTTTAATTGTTACGTGATCTAATCAGTTGTTCATGTAGACCGGTGACCTAGCCAGAGCAATTGCGACCTATCATAGCAATGAATGCATGTTAAACATAAACATGCCAACACTGACAAAAATTTTCTTAATGTGCATCTCCAAGTAGTAGATCAGTAGTAGGTAAATAATTATATGCAGATCAACAATTTATTGAAATATCATTGTGATCCTAGAATCAATAACTTGTGCAGTTTAGTACTCCATAATAGAATCCACTAATATTGCTACAATTAAATCTTAACAATCCCAAAAGCTTTATAGTAGAACGTAGTAGCATAGAGAAAAACACCAGCATTGAGCACAGCCAAGATATATGCTTACCAACACTCCAATCAGTCATTTCTCTATCATAAAGCCTCAAATTACTAAATCATGTATAAATTAGTTAATTTGCAATGCAGTAAACAAAAATATTACTTGTTAAAAATATAATCAATTATTCTTAACAACAGTAAAAGAAACTTAAGCTAGGAATTTCTATATTATCATCCACTAACAAAAGTAGTTGACAAAATAATGCAGTTGTTGTCTTTGACTTAATGACAGTGACACTTATACGGGTAAACATTGAAACATGTTCATATAATTATTTATAACCTGGTTGAAAAAGTGTCCTCACCAAGAATTCAGATATTTTATGTCTATTTCCCTGAAAACGTACTTTCCTATGCTACTAAAGCAATAATTTGAAAAACATTGTAATGAAACTTCTGTAAGCTAGCCCTCCAAGATTTTTCACCAACTGTTTTTGCTCCTTACATTGGTTTCAAACTATTTCTGGGAAAGATATGCAATTATTGGTGCCCAAAATTACATGTATTAAAAAATTTCACTGTAATAAAAAAATAGTGCTGTCATCAAAACTGGACATGTCTCGGTGTTGCAAAAACCATTGTTTTGTGGTGAGGGCTTTAATTATTTGACAAACTGATTAGATGTGATCCTCTAAAACTACACATTTCATTTAAATCACTACATTTCAAACAGCCTGTGTAACAGGTGCTAGGATGGGCCCATTTATTTCCTAGCATCTGCTACGCAGGCTACCATTCAAACAAAAAATCTGCAAACTTCCAATGTTGTTTTAAAGATCTCAGAAGAATCTGAAATACTACGCAAATATTTAGGTCACGGTAATTAAAGTCTTGAATAGGCTGAGCTTTGTCTATTCGTCATTCTTATTAATTCTGTTATATGGTAACAAGATGTCCAGACAACAGAAAGTTAAAACAAAATTAACATTAGCAAACGGTAGAACAAGTTCCTCTTCACCCCCAAAAGAGCACTGTAACATTAATTTTAAATTTGTTTCTCCATTCAGTCTGGGGAAGGGGGACAGGGAGGGGGAAGGGGCCTCATGAATACACTTAAACAATATCAATGACAGACTTAACCATTACTTTCACTGCTTAGCAACATTTGAAATCAGCATCACTTGGAAATACACTACCTTTCAAGTTTAGATTGTTTGATTGACAAAAATCTATTTTCAAGCAGTGTTGATTAAAAACAGGTCATCATAGCAGTGAAAATAATGGTACTTGTATGTGCAAATTTTAACCAGAACATTTCATCTATTTTTATAAGCCACCTTAAATTTCCAGCATGTATAAAACAGCTTAAGTGACAATAATAGTCCCTTGATATAATATTATTAACAGTTTCAGTGAACCTTCTTGAAGACTGCAATGAGTATAAAGCAAACAAACAAACAGCTCCATCACTCATGAATAAGTTTGAGGAATGATATCATTTTTTGTTACAGAAAAACTGAGGTTTCTGTTAGAAAACTATTGACAGGGATTTGCAAAAAGGTATTCATTATTAGCCTATCTGATGAACATTTAGAAATGCAAAACCAGCCCCTAATGTGCTCATATATGGATGTAAAGGAAATGGTTCAATCCTAGTTACGTTTAAAAACATTTACTGATCACTTGTGTCAGTCACAAAATAGAGCTTGTGGTACTGATATTAGTTCTGTATTGTTTACTATACAAAATAACTCTCCCATAACAGAAGAACTGACTCCAAACAACCTGGTACACTGTATGTTGTTAATTTAAGACAACAATAATAATGACAGAAAACACTTAGACATCAAACAAAGCCACAAAGTGATCTCATAGTAACCTTTGCTAAATGGGAAAGCAAAAGCCACCCAAATAATATTACCTTCATAAAAAAAGAAATTATGTACAAAATCTTGGAAAGTTTTCACTCCCCAAAAGCACAAAATCATGTTTTTTCAGAAACAAAGGACCCAGTTCTCGGAAGTCCAGGTTATCACCAAGCTAGGTAGCTTGGTAATAACCTTCTAGCTGTTTTCTGTTTGCCTTGTTTACCCATTCAAGTTCAAGGTTTCAACAGTACTGAAAGTAATCCACCAAACCTAACAGATAATGATAAACAAGGAAAGGAAAGGGAAAAAAGAAAAACAAAATGAAAGGAATAGTATTACTACAATGTATTCTAATTATTCAGATTTTAATTTGGAGCCAAAACATTAAAAAAATTTAAAGAAATTAATGCACCAACCCCACTGCCCCTTTGAGACATATAATATTAGTCATGAAGATTATGTAACTAAAGTTTACTTTCATAAAGCTAATAAAATCATTTATGGTTGCTTTTACCCAAATATTATTCTGTTTGTTACCACTTGTAATAAAATTGGTTACATCTGATCTCACTGTGAGAAAACCGAGGCCATAAAATTGTACCCACTTCGGAGAAAAAGGAATATTTAAGTTCATTTAATAAGAGCATGAAATGGTGCCAAATGCAGGCTCAAAAGCATCTACTTTTTACACATTAACATCCTTGTTTGTTTAGGAAAAAAATGACATTTTCCATGTAGGGCACCGTTTCATTTCTTGTGCCACTTTGGCCTTGTTTATATGGAGAACAGTTGTCCCAGCTTAAAGCTTCAATTTAAGCAAGCATTTATGTGACAATATGAGAAAAATGTTGACCCTTAGCCCAACCTAAGAGAGCTTGCACATACTATGATTGTCTTGCCTTGACCGAGTTGACCCGACAGGGCAAGCCAAAAGGTCTATAAGGGGGTAAAGTTGGCCCAGATAGGAGGGTCATCCTTGCAGCCCAGCCAACTTTTTGTTTCTCATGAAAACAGTTTGCCACGTTTTTTTTACGGAAATGTAGGAAAAGTTGGCTTGCTGGGGGATAACTCGGGTATGCGAGTGACCGTTCAGTCTGGGACAAGTTTGCTCCATATAAACAGGGCCTTATTCTTCTCTTGAGACTGACCGGACATTTTGTTGTATATGCTTTACACTGGCATTAAGGAATAACCAGAGCAAAACAATTTTCTGTTTTGTTTCAAAAGCCTGGAAACTAACTGTTTGGAATTGGCCACCACTTTGAAAAAATGGCATAACTGGACAAGGAAATTGCATGAGGTGTACTTGCCTATTTTGATCTGACAAATTAATGATGTACTTTCAAGGTGTTACTTGTAAAGATCTGAAAGGTTTTACTGTCAAACAAATAAACCGTGAACACCTGAAATACCTTGAGAAGCTTTACTACGCTATGACCAATCACAGCAAAGATAAGGACATACAGGCAAGCCAAAACACCACAAATCAATTTCCATCGCTACTTGCAGATTAGTATTCCAACAACTGATTGACTCTTACCTTGCAACACAACAATATTCCAGAAAAGAAGATTTTTGGTGTTCAAGGTTTTGTGAGTTTTATGGTAAGTCACCAATAAAATCTGCCAGTGATTTTGCTACAAATAGTTGTGGTGAGCCCAGGGACTCATCTTGTTAAAAATCATTAGTCCCTGTCCCGAACCAGTGAGTCTCAGTTTAAAAAATTGTCCAAAATTGAAAATTCCTGGGCTTTTATGAAACCTAACAGTTAATCTGATGACAGACTCAAAAACTCTGTATTACACTACACTGATATTAAAATAATTATAGTCCTTCTATTTTAAAGCACAACAAAGGCTAAAAGAAATATGCATCATTAAACAACAGCCACAATAACTGCCACAGAAATTACAGAGTTATTACATGCATGGGCCGGATATTTCTACAAATACAGATGTTTATATCGACTGATCAATCTTTGCGTCCTACAGGACGCACGCCATGAATTATTTGCATCTTTGGGGATTTTTATGTGTCAGGGATGCAGGACGAAGAGGTAACAAAATCACTGGTCACATATCAAAACACATCATGACATCAAAACTTTGTTTATGCTACCTAAGAAATTTTCATAAGCTAGGACATGCTGAAATACAACAGATTTCAGCCAATCAAACAGAAGAAATTTTGTTTACAGGTACTATACCAAGGGACCCATAAAGATTGCTGAAATCTATAATTTAAGGTAAGTTGCATCCATGGTTTTTACAAGCAGTGCAAATGGTATTATAGATAGAGCTTGCCTTGTCACCCAGTAAATAGAGTCCATCTTAAAATAAGGATCAATTTCTTCTGTTGATCCTGGTCTGCGCATCATTTGGTAGGAATAAGGCTCAATGTAAGCCTGCAATACAACTTGGCCAGCTTTGCTCTCCCCACTGTCACTATCAGCATACCTTAGCTTACGAGCATCCAAATCTGCACAGATAATGGAAGGAGTCAACTTGATGAGAGGTTTGGATCCTTCTTGACTTGAATCATTTGACCGGTTTTCCGTAAACTTTGACCGTAAAATTTCTGTTACTTCCTCTGGGTCCAGTGACAAAAATGCCAAGTTCCAAGTTGATGATATGATATCACTTTCAGCCTCACTACAGACAGGTGCAAGCTGAAAGCGACACCATCCAGTTGGCAGGGAGTACATTTGAGGTGGATCACCCGTTTTACACAGTGGGGTGTCAACATCAACACAACACTCTTCACAATAACACGGATTCAGAGCATCAACCGCAAAATATTGTGAAGGAATATTCAAATGAGTAAGGAAACGAATACAGCTCTCTTGATACTCACATGTAGGCTTGAATATTTCGTTGGAAACACTCTTTGTTCTTGAGCTAATGGGAACAAATTTTCTACGCGGCTCTTTCTTTTCTTTTAAAGGCAACTTTTTAGTACACTCTTCACCCACATGCTTCATGCAGCGTCCATGAACATCGAGGCCACATCCCTCACATTTCATTCCTTGATCTCTAAGTCCCCATAAGAATCCCCCACAAAAAGCACACCATTTGAAATGTTTGTAGCTATGGGGCTTAAATAAGTGGGGAAAGGAATTTGTTTTTTTCTTCTCTTCTTTCGGTACACGTCCACCAACATTATGTACCAAACGGTACATGCTCAGCACATCTACAACAAGATCGGTGATCGACGTGTAACATTTGGATTCCTTCTCATCAGTGAAGTATCTTTCATTTTCATATTTTAATCTGTAATGCAAAATACGGCCATCGTAACTTAATGACAGGCTATAATCACCTGGAGAACTATTACTTTCGCGGACTAAGTATCGCCCGTTGACTGGGCCATTTGCAGAGAGTAGTTCCTCTGCTTTCTCCCGTGGAATTCGGCCATGGAACTCTTCCTGAAAAAAGGAGGGCCTCGAAGGCAAGTTAGTCATACATGCTAAGCGAATTGGCTCGGGAGTAGCATTCCGCTTTAAAGCTTGCAACATATCGTTCTGCCATCCTCTGCTCTCTTGATCGCTGCTGATTCTCGTGATTTCGGCATAAGGACTAGCACGCTCCTCGTAAGACTGTTTCCGATTCGGTGGCTTGCTTGACATTATGGATGACTCACACTTGCTGTTGAACACAACACTGGGTTAATACTCTACTTCTACTCCAAGAACCCCTGAATAAGCCCAGATTCTTTTGTCCGATAATGTAACTTTACAAAGGGTATACGATATTATTGGCTGATACTGAAATCGAAGAAGCCAAAGCAATCAATCCCGTTTGCTGCGAGGTTTCACTGGGGCACAGAGGTTGCGGTTGACCTTTCTCTCCTTCACTCGCTTTTGGCAGTGTTAATGAGCAATAAGAAAATTGTCCACGTCCTTTGTAAAGCAAAATTCCTTCAAACTTCCGCAATTCCCGAGTAAAAAACACACCATTACGTATACACCAGAGAAAACACGCACCAAGTCGTGAGCATTTTTCAGAAAACCACTTGGGGCGGCAACGTCAGAGGTTCGTCAGAGGTGGATAACCAATGAGAGAACGCATCGGAACCACGCGAGTCGAATCCGAAAAAACGCGAGGATGACGCGCAATCTAGGAAAACTGTTGAGCCCGAAATGGGCCGCGAAAATCATCGTTTTCAGACTGCATAAGTCATTCTTCCACTATGCTTACTGACCCCCCCACCGGGGGATACTCCCTATAATGGTCTGTAACGGGAAGCTCCGCCCGGAAGGGGTACCTTTTTTAAGCTTCAGGTATTGCCCGTAATGAGGTTGGGATTTCACTACTTTCCAGTGTGACCATTGATTCAAAGGATCCGATAAATTCAAACTAAAATGTACTAGTCATGGAGGTATGTATAGTGCGCATTATTTTGGACAAATTAGCATAACGTCAAAACAGTGAATGTTGTAGCCCAGATTTTTGACCGGTTCGTAAGGTTTGTCTTGAAACTTTAAGGTGTTGCAGTGAATCAATCTTCATGAAAGTTTCAGACATTTTTATATCCATTATGAAAATTATGTGAAGAGATTTTGAAAAAATTCGTTCAAGTTGTTTCGGAGATATACAAGGAAGCGCTAAAAGTCTAAATTCTGAATGAAGTTGCACTTATATATATTATACAGTGGTGAGAAAACGGGTTTTCAAGATCGCAAGAACGAAAGTACACCAAAATTTCCTAGCATCAAAATATGATATTAAGCAGAATTCTGACGCTACTTTAGAATAATTTGAGTCATTTCTAACGTTTTCATTAAATAATCTATCACGGCACCTGATCATGGCTATTGAAAATTTAAGGTTTGAAATAAATTTTCGTTTTAGTCGAATTCAAACATACAGAATTTTTTACTTTCTTCGTACGGAGATTGTTTGCTAAACACCAAACTTTGAGTTCCTAGTGCTGGATTTTCAGTAACAGGTCTAGATCACACAAAATTCGGCTTTTATCAATTTCAAAGTTTTTTGTTTATTGTTGTCATAGTAATATCGATTTACTTAAAACTACATTTTCACAAATTTCAATCCATAACCAGTTACTGGTGAAAATTTTATAGCGATCGGACAAGGAAAAAAACACTTTTAAGGCGATTGAAAAATATCGGTATGGCCTCTGAAAAACTGTATCGAAACACCTTAAGACTGAATGGTAATGAAAATCCCTGTTACACCTTCATGAACGGATTCAAAAGTTGGAAGAAAGTCGTATCACTGGCAAATAACTAATTGTGCGATTTCTTGGGACAATCCATTGTTGATTCTTGATCTCCGATTTTTTGGATTCGTTTATACAAAGACAGAAATAAACTTCTTTTAGCATGCCAGCAATATATATTGGTGCGAACTTGTGAGAACATGGCGAACCTCATATTTCACAGGAAAACCGCTTGCTGAGTATTTTCCTATCCGGATCCGTGTTCATGCGCATAGATCATAGTCTAAATCATAAAAAATATGGATTTAGATTTGATCTTATGGATGCATTCGGAGTCTGAAGAATTAAGAATTCCGAAAGAAATGCACCGTTTTACATTGTAATAGGACATTTTCGTGCGTTTTGTTGGGCACGCCGATCCGAAGAAAGTAAACCTGGCGATTTTTTTCCTTCAAATGTGAAGCTCGCCAGTGACGTTCTCGAAATACCTTAGGAATTTGGCTTTTTCTTCTCTTCTTTCGGTACACGTCCACCAACATTATGTACCAAACGATACACGCTCAGCACATCTACAACAAGATCGGTGATCGACGTGTAATATTTGGATTCCTTCTCATCGGTGAAGTATCTTTCATTTTCATATTTTAATCTGTAATGTAAAATACGGCCATCGTAACTTAATGACAGGCTATAATCACCTGGAGAACTATTACTTTCGCGGACTAAGAATCGCCCGTTGACTGGGCCATTTGCAGAGAGTAGTTCCTCTGCTTTCTCCCGTGGAATTCGGCCATGGAACTCTTCCTGAAAAAAGGAGGGCCTCGAAGGCAAGTTAGTCATACACATCAGGGGCACCCAACGGCAATTTTCGGGAAAATATCTGTTCGGAAGACGATTTGAGAACTAGAATTTTCGGAACATTTGTTGTAAAATTTCTTGCTTGCCTGCCTCTCCTAGGATTTTCGAACATCTACAAAATGGTATAATTACTCATTTTTAACGGACTTTGACCCTAAAAAAGGCCACCTAGAATTTTCGGGAGCCTTTTCCTGGCTGAAATTTTCGAAAAGGTAAGTTTTGATCCCTATAATTTTCGGATCACTAGACTTTCAGCTAGGAAATCC